TTTTATGACAACAATTCTCTTGTTTATCTTTTCTTTTGCCATGAACTAATTTTCCTTGCTAGGGCTACGATGTAGCCTAACCATGAATACTTAATTTTTATAGTTGTATTAATTTCTTATTACTATTCCATGTTGAGTATTTGTTACTGTTCTTAATGCTTTGAATATCTGGCCAATATTTAATTGAATTGATGATCCAAGCGGAGACCGAGAGGAGATGTTTGGTGTTTGCTTCTTGTAACAAATACCATGACTTGAATGAGTGCCCAAGAGGGACTAACATGACTCATGCAGTTTTCTTGCAGGTTCTCATAGAACTTAATGGGTTCTTGATTTTCTAAATCTGTTGCTCGAGAGAGAATGGGTTGTTAATTAAGAATACTTTTGGTTGAGCCCGAGAGGGGATATCGAATGAATTAGGAGAAACCAACTGTCAACATGGATAGTAATTAGGGTTAATTGGCTATAAGAATTAAGTGGAATTGGTTATGGTGAAATCGGATGCTCTAGTGTCTCATCATCTTAATTTTCTATCATTAATTAAATTGCTATTTTTCATAATTGTTTTAGGTTACTTAAATCAATCAATCTTCTTAATCAATTGTTCAGATAAACTTTTGAATTAATCATAATTGGTAATTAATAGGAAATTACAGTCTTCGTGGGAACGATACTCTACTTATTTCTATATTACTTGTGCGAATTGTGCGCTTGCAATAATTTCACAACAAGCTCCCAAAAGGCCTCGTGCTAGATGGAGGCGAGCATGTACATATAAGGCACATCACCCCCTCTTTGTTGGTTGATGTGGGATCTTACAATCCACCCCCCTTAAGGGCCCGACGTCCTCGTCGGCACACTCGCACCACACGGCAGAATGGCTCTGATACCATTTTGTCACGACCCGACTACCGTAGCACTATATTGTCCGTTTTGGGCCCCCCTCTCTGCCCTCACGGTTTTGTTTCTGGGAGCTCACGAGCAACTTCCCAGTGAGTCACCCATCCTGGGATTGCTTTAGCCCCCAACTCGCTTAACTTCGAAGTTCCCATGACTCCGAAGCCAGTGAGCTCCCAAAAGGCCTCGTGCTAGATGAAGGCGGGCATGTACATATAAGGCACATCACCCCCTCTTCGTTGGTTGATGTGGGATCTTACAATCCACCCCCCTTAAGGGCCTGACGTCCTCGTTGGCACACTCGCACCACACAGCAGAGTGGCTCTAATACCATTTTGTCACGACCCGACTCTCGTAGCACGATATTGTCCACTTTGGTCCCCCTTCTCTGCCCTCACGGTTTTGTTTCTCGGAGCTCACGAGCAACTTCCCAGTGGGTCACCCATCCTAGGATTACTCTAGCCCCCAACTTGCTTAACTTCGAAGTTCCCATGACTCCGAAGCCAGTGAGCTCTCAAAAGGCCTCGTACTAGATGGAGGCGGGCATGTACATATAAGGCACATCACCCCTTCTTCGTTGTTTGATGTGGGATCTTACAATCCACCTCCCTTAGGGGCCCGACGCCCTCGTCGGCACACTCGCACCACACAGCAGAGTGGCTCTGATACCGTTTTGTCACGACCCGACTCCTGTAGCACGATATTGTCCGCTTTGGGCCCCTCTCTCTGCCCTCACGGTTTTGTTTCTGGGAGCTCACGAGCAACTTCCCAGTGGGTCACCCATCCTAGGATTACTCTAGCCCCCAACTTGCTTAACTTCGAAGTTCCCATGACTCCGAAGCCAGTGAGCTCCCAAAAGGCCTCGTGCTAGATGAAGGCGGGCATGTACATATAAGGCACATCACCCCTTCTTCGTTGTTTGATGTGGGATCTTACAATCCACCTCCCTTAGGGGCCCGACGCCCTCGTCGGCACACTCGCACCACACAGCAGAGTGGCTCTAATACCATTTTGTCACGACCCGACTCTCGTAGCACGATATTGTCCACTTTGGTCCCCCTTCTCTGCCCTCACGGTTTTGTTTCTGGGAGCTCACGAGCAACTTCCCAGTGGGTCACCCATCCTGGGATTGCTCTAGCCCCCAACTCGCTTAACTTTGACGTTCCCATGACTCCAAAGCCAGTGAGCTCCCAAAAGGCCTCGTGCTAGATGGAGCCGGGCATGTACATATAAGGCACATCACCCCCTCTTCGTTGGTTGATGTGGGATCTTACAGGTAAAATTAAGCTAATTACCCAAAGTACAATTCATATATTGATTTTAGTTACCATCATTGGTAACTTAATTCAATACCCACAGATAATTGGCTTAGTTTTACCCAGTCTACATTTTGAGCAAGAGGATTAATCACCACCGTTGGTTACCAACTCAAAATCAAATTGGCAACCTTGAAGCTATAAAGGTAAAAGCACTCGGCACTCTTCTCAAACACCCTAGGAGAACAGGCAACTACAAACCAATGAATAATCAATCAACATGAGGCTTTTACAAAAATTGGTTGAGAAAAGCAAAGCTAATCATCAAAGTTGGTTTATTCTCTTAGCTGCCAAGGATTAGTGGATTAAAACACTTTCCAGCAATTGTGCTTTAGTTTTCATCATGCATTTCTCTGTAAATACAAGAGTACATGAGTTGGAGAGGACACAACCAAATCAAACCAACAAAAACAAACAACCAAAGACTCTCAGTCAAACTAACAAAATCAAAGATCATATGATCTCAAAAGCCTTCAAATTCAAAAGCAATCAAGCCATCATGCTTCTTAAAAAAAATCCAGCTTTTAAGAAAACAAGCAGAACTCAGACTTCTGACTTCAATCCAGCTCAGAGAAGCAGCTCACCAAGAAGAAAACAAGATTTCTCTCGTTGCAAATGCGATTCAGATCAAAAGAATCATGCAGAACTCAAGTTTCTGTCATTACAAATTCAGTTCAGAACATATGAACCAGGCAGAAGTCAGGTTATTCATCATATGAAAACCCTCAACAAATGCTTGGAAACACCTTGATGTCTTAAGCTCACCAGAATAGCTTACAAGTGATCCCCAGTCAAGCAGAATAGGTACTAAAGTGCAATTCTAGGCCAACAGTTGCTAATCCAGCCACTTCCAATCCAGTCCAGATTGGAGAAATTCCAGCTCAAGTAGGATAGAGACACTAGGATGTCTTAATCTCATGCAGGTAGTCCCTTGAACAAGCAGAACATATGCAAACTCTCAGTTCTGCCCATTTGCAAGCCTCTACATGGCTCGAACTAATTATAGCTCTGCCAATTTCAACATTGGTATCGATTTCCAGCTAATCTCCATTAGTTGAAGGTGCTGACGTGCAATTCTAGTATAGATATATCTAGTCCAGCCTGAATCACATACGGCAATCCAGGCAATAGTCAAAGTCCTATGTTCTGATGTCTTCCCAAACTTGGCAATTCCTTTAATTTACTGTATAATAAACAGTTCTCCTTGAATTCATTTGTTTTATTTTCAAACACGCATTTTGGCTAAACTTACCAGTTTTTACTACGGGAAATTATAAAGTCCTCACCTGTCTGAGGTAGGAAAAGAACTTACTTGGGAGATATTCCTCACCCAAATTCACAATCACTTTATCAAAGTCAATAGCTTGTGGTGCAAGTTATTACATTTTACAATCTGTTAGGGTTTTTAATCAAACATTGGCACGCTCAAACATAAAAGAAAGTTGATTTGTTGACCACCAATGGTTTTCAAGTCAATGGGGAACTTTACCCCGCCACCACATGAACTACAAATAAACGGGTAAACAATCTCGATCGGCATAAAGATAGATAAAATCTACAGTTCCTAGCTTATTCATGGTTGCCTTTGGTTGTGCTAAAAATCCACAAAGAGGCACGCCTCGCATGGTCAAGAGTTGAAGGATAATTACACTGAATGATATGCTAAATCGTATCTAAATCAGTTATAGTTACGAAATGTGGGAGGGAATTAATGCATAAAACTCATCCTGGAGGATATGAGTTTTTCCATTAATTGGATACTATTCTCAGTTAGGCTTTAGTTTAAACGTCTCTGTCTAATTATAATAAATAAGGCTGCAATTTATGAGATGCAGAAAAGAAAAGAAACAAAGTTAATTGGCTTTCTGTAAATCTTATGATAAAAAATACTCTATAGAAATGTTTGGAGAAGTCTCAATTGTTATAAATCCATACGTTATGGGTTTATAGGTTATGGATGCCCACAATAATAGCCACTATTAACCTATCATAATATCCATCATTATATATTTGTAACCGACCAATTATGGGTGGTAGGTGATTTAGGTCTCTCTACCCCTATAAATAGTGGCACCAAATATGAATGAAATACAAGTTGATTTGAGCAAATTATACTATCTCTTTCTTCCTCTTATTTCTCCCTACAAATTCCCTAGTTTCACAACACGTTATCAACAAGAAAGCTCTTGGTAATGTTCTTCTCTATAGCTTAGTTCATCCATATATATATATATATATATATATATTTTCTTTTATATACAAAACTCGATGATGGCTTCTTTTTTTTTTTGTGAAATCGTGTTTTTGACATGATTTAAATTGCCGAGAGTATCCCCCAATGAATGCATGAACATGTAGGTTTTTTTTTTTTTTTTGTTATTGTTATATGACCACTATTCATTGAAAACTTGTTTGCATGCATGTTGTAGCTAATAACACGAGTAGTATGCAATTATCATTATTATTATTTTTTTCTTTCTTTCTTTCTTTTCTCCTTTTAAGTTTTTATTTTTATCTTATTTAAACACAATATGTTATGATGAGTTTTTTTATTAACAAGAGATCAAGGCCTGAAGTTCCTCAATCCTCATAATAGATAAGGACCTGAAGTTCCTTTATCAAATCAGAACCTAAGTTTCTGTGATTCAAAATAACTGAAGGCATGAAGTTCCTCAATCTAATTGTCTAAACATCCCAAACCAGAAGTTTTGGTGATTATATTTATGTTTACTATATCAACAATTTTTTCTTGAGCTCTAACACATTCCATTTTCTTTTATATAGAAAATGTCGAATTTGACAAAGCTCGAATTTGTTGCACTTGACATCTCTAGAAAGAACTACCTTTCATGGATCAATGATGCTGAGGTTCATCTTGAGGCTATGAACCTAGGGGAAACCATTAAGGAAGGCAATGAGGCATCCTCTGTGGATCGAGCGAAAGCCATGATTTTTCTCAGATGCCACATCCATGAAGGAATGAAGTGTGAATACCTTACTGTCAAGGATCCGTTAGCCCTTTGGGGAAATCTCGAGGAAAGATATGACCATCAGAGGATAGTTATTCTTCCTAAGGCTCGCCATGATTGGATGCACTTGCGTCTACAAGATTTCAAATCAGTGGCTGACTATAATTCTGCTCTGTTCAGAATTAGCTCCAAGTTACGACTTTGTGGAGAGAATATAACTGATGCAGACCTATTGGACACATTTCTTGCCTCCAATGTGGTTTTGCAACAACAATATCGAGAGTGAGGTTTCCAGAAGTGTTTAGACCTCATATCTTGTCTACTTCTAGCTTAATAGAATAATGAGCTTCTGATGTAGAACCATCAGTCCCGTCCAACTGGATCTGCACCATTCCATGAAGTGAATGCTGCCTTGGCACCATCTCATGAGGCATATTCTACCTTATCACATGGCGACCGTCGTCGAGGACGTGGTCGTGGTAGGGGCATCCGTAATGGTCAAGTCCAAAATAGTAATAGCCACCGCTTGGGTCCAAGAAATACCCAAGCATCTCATAACCACCAGAAGTGGAACAAACAAGACAAGGCAAATGGCTCCCAACCTTCAGCTGACAGGGTGATTGAGGAAGCATGTCATAGGTGTGGTACAAATGGGCATTGGGCACGTGTATGCCGCACACCAAAACATTTGGTTGATCTTTACCAAGCCTCAATCAAGGGCAAAGGAAAAAAGGTTGAGACATATTAGATGAATGCTGATCCAACAGAGTTAGAACTAGTGGATGCAACTCACCTTGATGTTTCAGACTTCTTTGTTGATACTGATGGCAAATCTTTTGATCCTATGATTAGTGATGGGATGCTCCCCAATTAATTTTGTTGAAATGTTTTTTTCCTTCGCTTTATGTTGTTTGAGCTGAGTTTAATTCCTGTTTTTTCTTTTTCCCTTTCACATGTTAGTTTGGATCTTTTTCATTGAATAAAATCGAATAAAAGACTTCATTTGAATTTTTTTATTTACTTATTTATTTTTTTCTTCGAATAACATTTTAATACATATATATTTTCTTATAAATTTGAAGGCATGGAAAACAATCATGGATCCTCTCGTCTTGGGAGAAATGACGAAGATATTTGTCTTACGGATAGTGCAACTACGCACACAATTCTTCGAGATAAAAAATATTTTTACAATTTACATTTATCAAAAGCAAAGGTAACTACCATACTAGGTTTTGCAAACCTAATTGATGGCTCTGGAAGAGCTCAAATTTTGTTACCCAATGGGACTCAATTCTCCATTGATAATGCTTTGTACTCTTTGAGATCGAAAACAAATTTCCTTAGCTTTAAAGACATTCGAATGAACGGGTACCATATTGAAACTAGAAATGATCATCATGTGGAGTATCTTTGCATTACCACCAATATCAACAGCCAAAGGCGTATATTGGAAACACTTCCTGCTTTCTCTTATAGGTTGTTTTATACAACCATCAAAGCAATTGAAGTCCATGCTATCATGAATCAGAATTTCATTGACCCAACGACCTTCATGCTTTGGCATGATCATCTTGGGCATCTTGGATCCACAATGATGCGTAGGATTATTTCAAATTCAAATGGACATCCTTTAAAACCTTACCATAGTACTTTGTCCTTTGACCAGTCTTGCAAAGCTTGCTCCCAAGGGAAATTGATCATTAGACCTTCTCCATCAAAACTTGACTTTGAATGTCCATCTTTCTTTCAGAGAATTCAAGGGGATATTTGTGGGCCAATTCACCCATCTTGTGGACCATTTCGTTATTTTATGGTTTTAATCGATGCATCTACAAGATGGTCACACGTTTGCCTATTGTCAACTCGTAATGTTGCTTTTGCTAGGCTCCTTGCTAAGATAATTAAATTACGAGCACAATTCCCTAATTATCCAATAAAGTCAATTCGACTTGATAACGCTGGCGAGTTTACCTCCCAAACTTTTGATGCCTATTGCATGTCACTTGGGATTGATGTTGAGCACCCAGTTCCCCATGTCCATACTCAAAATGGATTAGTTGAAGCTTTTATTAAGCGTCTCCAGCTTATTGCTCGCACTTTGCTATTGAAGACAAAGTTGCCAATTTCTGCTTGTGGACATGAAATTTTACATGGAGCATCCTTAGTCCGCTTGAGGCCCGTTACCCACCACCAATTCTCCCCTTTACAACTTGCCTTTGGGAGACAACCCAATATATCACATTTAAGGGTTTTTGGTTGTGCAGTTTATGTGCCAATTGCACCCACACAACGCACTAAAATGGGTTCTCAATGTCGATTGGGAATTTACATTGGTTTTGATTCACCAACTATCATTCGCTATCTTGAACCTATGACAAGAGATACTTTTACAACACGTTTTGCATACTGTCATTATGATGAGACATTCTTCCCGCCGCTAGGGGGAGAAAAGACCGTTCCTGAAGAACGGCGGGAATTGGGTTGGAACATATCCATTTTGTCTCATCTTGACCCTCGTACAACTCAAAGTGAAAATGAAGTACGAAAAATTGTCCACCTTCAGCAAATTGCTAATAAAATGCCAGATGCATTCACTGATACAAGAAAAGTGACAAAATCACATATACCTGCAACAAATACACCAGCAAGGATTGATATCCCAATCGGATTAACCAATGTTGCAGCAAATGAATCATCTACTACACGCCTAAAGCGAGGTAGACCCATTGGTTCCAAGGACTCAGCTCCTAGAAAGCGAAAATCGAAAGCATATCCCAATCCCAATGAAAACGCTAATGAAGATATTATTGGGAAAGAGATTTACCTTGAATCTACAATTTATCCGGAGAATGAAAGTGTCATTGAAAAGACACAAGCCACTGAAGAAGAAAAGATATCTATAAAAGAAATTTCTGTAAATTTCGCATGCAATGATGAATTATGGGACCGTAGTGAAATGGTTATCGATGATTCTTTCACAGTAGCTGCTAAAATTATAAAAGGTCATGAAGATATTGAACCACGATCTGTTGATGAATGTAAAGGAAGGCCTGATTGGCCAAAGTGGAAAGATGCAATCCAAGTTGAGTTAAATTCCTTGGAAAAACGTGGTGTATTTGGACCTGTGGTTCAAACACCACAAGGTATAAAACCTATGGGATATAAATGGGTGTTCACAAGAAAGTGTCATGAGAAAAATGAGATTGCAAGGTATAAGGCACGACTCGTTGTGCAAGGATTTTCTCAAAGGCCTGGGATTGATTATGAAGAAACATATTCTCCTGTTATGGATGCAATTACGTTCTGTTATTTAATAAGTCTTGCGGTCTCAAAAAAACTTGACATGCGTCTTATGGACGTTGTTACTGCATAATTGTATGGGGAGTTAGACGCTAATATTTATATGAAAGTCCCAAAAGGACTCAAGTTGGCAGAATCAAACACTAAATCACGGATAATGTATTCCATTAAGTTGAGACGTTCACTATATGGGTTGAAACAATCCGGACGAATGTGGTATAACCGTCTTAGTGAATATTTGATTAAGGAAGGCTACATCAATGATCCCATATGCCCTTGTATTTTTATAAAGAAATCAAATTCTGGATTTGCAATTGTAGCAGTGTATGTCGACAACATGAACTTAATTGGAACTCCTCAAGAGATCATTAAAACTGATGAATATTTAAAGGGTGAATTTGAGATGAACGACCTTGGAAAAACTAAATATTGTTTGGGCTTGCAGATCGAGCATCATCCCAATGGTATTCTTGTCCATCAATCAGCTTACACTGAAATTTTTTTGAAGCGATTTTATATGGATAATGCCCACCTGTTGAGCACTCTAATGGTAGTTCGTCCATTAGACACAAATAAAGATCAATTTCGTCCTAAAGAGGATGATGAAATGATACTTGGTCCAGAAGTTCCATATCTTAGTGCAATAGGTGCTTTATTATATTTAGCCCAATGTACTAGGCCAGATATTGCATTTCCAGTAAATTTATTAGCTAGGTATAGCTCGGCTCCAACACGTAGACACTGTAGTGGTATAAAGCATATCTTGCGCTACCTTCGTGGAACAACTGATATGGGCCTGTTTTATTCGTACGAACCTTCCAACGGTCCAAATCTTGTTGGATACACGGATTCTGGGTATCTCTTCAATCCACATAAGGGTCGCTCCCAAACTAGTTATGTGTTTACTTGTGGAAATACAGTAATCTCATGGCGATCTACAAAACAAACTTTGGTTACTACCTCTTCTAATCATGCAGAAATTCTTGTGCTCCATGAGGCCAGTAGAGAATGTGTTTGGTTAAGATCCCTAGTTCATCATATTCGGAAAACATGTGATTTGTCTTCAACAACAAAAGCTCTGACAATCATGTATGAAGACAATGCTGCTCGTTAGCTGAAATTAAAGAAGGGTTTATCAAGGGTGACAGAACCAAACATATACCACCAAAGTTCTTCTAGCCACATGAGCTTTAGAAGAATCAAGAGATTGAAATTAAACAAATTCGTTCCCAAGATAACCTGGCAGACCTCTTCACCAAAGCTCTTCCGAAGTCTATATTTCAGAAGTTGGTATATGGTATAGGAATGCGACAACTTTACAAGCAATCAGATTGTTGAAGATCAGGGGGAGACATCAATCGCGGAAACTCCTCAGTTTTACTACATTGGATGTATGTGCAATGTACTCTTTTTTCCTTCGATCAGGTTTTTATCCCATATGGTTTTTCCTGACAAGGTTTTTAACGAGGCAACATTTAGAACGTCCAACATGATGTCATTGTATGGTGGACATCCAAGGGGGAGTGTTATAAATCCATACGTTATGGGTTTATAGGTTATGGATGCCCACAATAATAGCCACTATTAACCTGTCATAATATCCATCATTATATATTTGTAACCTGCCAATTATGGGTGGTAGGTGATTTAGGTCTCTCTACCCCTATAAATAGTGGCACCAAATATGAATGAAATACAAGTTGATTTGAGCAATTATACTATCTCTTTCTTCCTCTTATTTCTCCCTACAAATTCCCTAGTTTCACAACACCAATCAAGTTCTTACAAACAAGACGAGTAACGAATCATTTATCAAAGAAAATTCCCACTACATAATTAATTCCTTACAAAAAAGACATATTTATATATATATATAAAGACAAAGATAGGTAATGGTGAAACATTCAAAATACTAAAAATTGTCCTTGATTAAAGAATTTATTAAGTATTGAAACTTTTCAATATATAAGAATAATATAGTAAATTAATATTTTTTATATTAAAAAAAATTAAAATCAAAATCAAAATAAGAACATTGGTCTTAACTCATGGGACACAACTTCTCTTTTTAAAATTTTAAAGTAAAAAACAAAAATAAAAAAACTAATTAACACACTCAGTAAGTATGAATCGAATAAGGAAAATAAAGTGCATCTCCCAAACCCTAGCCACACTCTCCCTCTGTGAATCATAAAGGAAAATTCCATAAAGGGGGGAGGAGGAAGAAGCGTCATTGCCCCTCCTCCCCCTCATCTTTTCTTGTCTTTTCCTTTTACGTTAGTGAATAAGTCCACTGGGGAGTTTTGAATAAAAACCCCCTTGTGGTGGCTTCTTCTAAGCCATGGTCAGATTGAAGTTCCCCATCACCCCTTTTAATCTATGTTCTCAATCAAATCCTACTCCTAAAACCCACTCCCTAACGTCGCTCATGTTCTTTAAATTTGA